GTCCAATGACTCACTATTTGAAAAGAAAAAGGGCTTTTTAAGGAATGATGCATTTTAACATTTTTTATAGCAATAGTACTCTGTTTGATGAGAAAAGTTTAAAACAGTAAGCATGATTTTTGCTGTTCTCACAAGCACATTTGAATCTTCTTATGAAATTCAATTTTGAAAAAAATCAATGGAATTGCTTAAGTGTACTGCATCCTCTGCCATAGAACATGTTTTGCCATATTAGCCAGAAGCTTGGTTGTTTTTTCTTTGTTTACAAGCCCAAGTGATTTGAAAAAAAAATGATCAATTCCTGTGGAAAGGGTCACTGTTTCTGGTAACTGTTTCTGGGTCCCTTGTGGTGCTATTAAATGGAATTCTCCCTTGAAAGTCTGGTCACCACAAGTTGGTCCCAGCCACAGAGAACAGCAGCCTTACACACAATGAGCAATATTTTTCATTGTAGATATCTTGGGCATTTAGGAAATGGATTATATTTAATTTGAAAAGTCTAAGATGCAATCTTACTTTGTATAATATTTTAATTTATTTATTTAATTTATGCAAAAACAGCATCTATTGAGCCAATACACCCTGATGACTCCCTCTTTATCACATCAGCAAAACACATATTGAAAATGCTAAAAAGTATTCATTTACTTGACTTCCTAACAGCCCTTACATAGTCATTATGATCTGGAATTTTAAGATCATTGGCTTGATTCAAGTGGGAGAAAAGTCAGTCAGTATGCTCCCATACAAAGTCTCCAAAGCAGATTGGAATTTGATGCAGACAACTGAAATACTCTGTCCCCTTTCACCTGGGGATCCTGAAAAAAATTTAAGCATTTTCTTTCAATGTCTTCCTTGTGCTTTGTCTTTGAAAATGAGAATTAAGCTCAAAAATAAATCACAATTACATAAACAGTGAGATTTCTATAATATGTAACTGACCTTACATTCCCGGTCTGATCAAAACTCTGAGCTTATTCTTATATCAGGGATGGGATCAAGGAAGAGAGACATTTTCCATTGGAAGATCCAGCCTGAGGAACTGAAATAGCTGACCTCATACTTTTGCTCATGATAAATATATTAATATAGATATATTTTAAAAATATTGCATGCTTTAATTGATATTATTAAATTACAGCAGATGAGCAGGACCCAAAGCAGACTGCTGAATTCAGGAAGGTCGGTGTAACCACTCTAAAAATAACAGGGTGTAATCGACGTTGCTGCTGTGGCAGATGGGTCTGGGGGTCTGTGTGGTTGTGGTTCACAGCTCTGAAAATGCACTTGGGTTCACAGTCCCTCTTAATATCACCAATGAAATGTCTCAATATAAAAATGAGATATCTGTAAGTGTGGTAGGTGAGTGTCCCTTTCTCACCTTCCCATCATCATTTTTTGTTCGCTTTGATTTCTTGGCTGGTTAATTTTTTTCTCTCCCCAGAACTTTCCACACAGAAATTTAAACTTGAAGTGTCATTACCTCACTGAAACTAATTTGTCGCTATTATTCCTCATTACCTTTTATCTTGTAATTGCTCTTTAGAGCTTCATACAATCTGCATATTACATTACTCTATGTGTGCTTTACTAGTCCTGATTTTTTTTAATAAGCAACACGGTCAATATATACAAATGGTAAGCACCAACCTGATTTGCTATCTGCTGTAATTGGATTCTGCCTTTAATTACAGGTGGTAATGACATTTTAAGCACCTTATACAGGTGTTGGAGGGGGTGGGGGTTATGAAATGTTAAGCAACACTAAGAAATTCTAAGCTTCTGGAGTGCTGCCAAATTTCAGAGGTGCCTTTCAACTCCAAATAGCGATTTTCATGTGAGGATAATTATAGCTCTGGCCACCTGGACTGCTCCTGTTGGAGTCAGGCAGAGCAGAGGAGTGAGCTCATCTGCAGGCCACACTCCATATCTTCTCTCCTTATTTCTGTTTTCATTTAAAATCACTTCAAATATATCATGGCCTGTATTCTGATTCCTAAAAATACTGCAGGACCATCTTTTTGTGTGTGTTTGCTGGCCAAAACCAGTGGCAAAATATATTGTTCTGTATTGGCAGCATAGCTGAGGTTGGGTGACCTTGGAAAATGTATTTGAATTTTGTTGATAGCCTCCTTGATCTTGGGGGAGTTTTAATTCACATCTATAATTCCAGCCTGAGAAAATTAGACAGAGATTTGTTCTGGAACTGATGGGAAAATATATAGCCAGCAAAAGGAGTTACCTTATCTTTCATTAGTCATGCAGCTTCTCCTGGAAAATAACTTTTCCCTAGCAATAGCACTTAAAACTCAGCATTTCTGTGATCAACACTAACTCTCCCGATTCTTCTGTCCTGACTTTTTGAAAAGAAAGTTAAAGACACAGCACTTTTATATGTCCTGCAGGAAACTAATTAAATTCTTAATTTCTCTTCGTTCTTTCCCTTCCTACAGAACCTCTGCTCATTAGTCACAAAGCCCAGGGGCTTATCCTGCCTGTGCTGATTTCCTGGGCTCTGCCAGCCAGGCCAGGACTCCTGAGCTCCCAGGGATGGGGCTCAGGCTGCTCTGGTCGGAGCACACAGCTTTATTTCTGAGATTGATCCTAATCTTCATCTCCTGTAACTTATTCTGGTTAAAGCCAGGCTTTAGTGACATCAGCAGGAGCTTGGTTCTGAGCACCTCCATTCCTCTGGAGTGACATTGCAGTGCTTGGTTGTTGCTGTGTGGTGCTGCTGGGCTTTTCCCTGGAAAGAGGTGTCCCACCTGTACCTTGGGACACGTAGGGGAACAGTCCTGGGGGGTTTAGCCTGGATAAAAGGAGGCTCAGGGGGGATTTTATTGCTCTCTGCACTACCTGAAATGAGATTATACCTAGTGGGGATTGGTCTCTTCTCCTGAGTAAAAAGCAATAGGGCAAGAGGATCTTGCTGCTGTCGTCACCAAGAGAGGTTTAAATTGAATATTAAGGAAAATATATTTACTGGAAAGGTGGTCAGGCATTGGAAGAGGCAGCCCAAGGAAGTGGTGGAGTCACTATGCCTGTAAGTGTTCAAAAAACCACCTCAGATGTTTCACTTGGGGACATGGTTTAGTGGTGAAGATGGCAGTGCTGGGTTAAGGGTTGGATTCCATGATCTCCAGATCTTTTCCAATCTAAATGATCCCATGCTGTCTGTGTAGAAAATTTCTGCATGTGAAATGCGAAAACAAGCAAATATCCTTTAACATATTCTGAATGAAATTCAAAATTCAAGAAGAGCTAAAGGTGAAGCTCCCATGGAGGCTTGTCTTGATTGACTCTACCAAATTATCTAGATGACCTTTTCTTAGTATTATAATGTTAGGGTGATTGGCATGCCAGAAATAAGATTTTATTTCTCCTTGTAGGGGATCTGACCTCTGGCTGTATGTATAGATCTGCTTTATATTTCATTCACAAGATTGGGTATTTAAATATAAATATATGTATATATATATATATATATATATATATATATATATATATATATACAGTTTATCTATTTTTGTTTACATAAAAATATCCTAAATCACTAATAAATGGATTATTAAATAATCTTTAATAATGGACCTCATTGCAGCTCATTTCATTGATTCACTCTAGACAGTGTCAGTACTTTTTCCTCTCCACAGTTAATGTTGAAATGAATTTAATGTGTGAAGTTTTCTCCTAACTTCTCTGCATTTATGCCAAAGACAAGGGAGAACATCCTGAAAACTAAGCAAGCCAGTTGTTACCATGGTTTTAATTTTCTGGCTTTTTTAATTCTCAATTTTTCTTCAACTCAGGAAAAAGCATTGTCTAGACAAGACGGCCCAGCTGAACATTGAAAATGAACAAGGCAAGGGCAGCAAGAGAGAGAAAAAGCAGTCAGGGCAGAGGAAGGCAATGACTTTGGGGGTGTTTGCTGCAGCTGATGTGTGTTTATTTTCCAGTTCTCACCTCCCTGTGCAATCGCAGGCTGAGCTCTGTTCTCTGTCCTTGTTTATATCTGATGTCACAGCAAGAAGACAAGGTGCTATCAGCTTTTACTTGAAAGGTCAAATTGAAGCTATTTTCCTTTAATCTGAGAGATTTCAGCCATAGCAAAATAAAATTTTAAAATTTGGCCTAAGCAAGTCCCCTAACCCCTCTGTATCACAGAGAAATAAGTTAAACATTGAACTGTATGTTGGTCAATTGCTTCAAAATTGTTCAAGTCACTTTTCAGTCCCTGGTGTCAGTTATTCTCTGTGTGAAAGAGAATTAATTATTCCATAGTTATTCTGCAAATTTTAGCCTGTCATTAACAAAAAAAAAAAAAAAAAAAAAAAAAAGGATGTCAGGATCTATTTTAACTGCTTTAAACCCATGCACTGAAGTTATGTTTAATGTGAAGAATATGGATGATCCCATCCCTGATAATAAATGCATTGGGGTGTCAGATGTGCTACTGGGCTCCTGGGGCTGGCTGGAGATTTGGATGTCTCAGCTAAGCCATGGTGACTGACCCTAGACTGACCCTATTTGATGACTTTGGCAGGGTTATTTGTTCATTTTGTCACTTTTAATTTTGTTTTGTTACTAGTATAGTGCTTGAAATTAAGGTTCAAATTTTATTTTCTCTTGGCCAGGAAAAAAAAAAGAAAGACATATCTCTACACTGTTTACACAAATATTGACCACAAGGTGAGCAGGACGCTCCTCTTTTTTTGTGAGAAGCCTGCTTGTCAGCATGCAAGTGATAGATCAGATGTAAAGAAAATCACTTCTGCAAAACCAATTTGCTAAGGGGCTTGTAAAATCCATTTTTAAAAAGTTACTGAGGCAAAAAAACCCCATGAAGGACCAGCCAACCAGATATTTTGATTGGCTCTTCAAGGTCAAAACCTGATTACTAATTCATCAAATACCTTACTGGTAGCGCTGCTTGAAGAGCAAACAACTCCGTGCAGATGTTCTACCTAATAATGCCAATATGGAAAGAGTGCTTTACTCACTTTGGGCAATGCTGCAGTCGTAGGAGCTGTGCCCTCCAAGGCACCGGCAGCCCAGCTCTGTGCAGCGCCCGCGGCCGCTGCAGAGCGCGGGACACCGGAGAGCAGCCAGGATCTCCTCCCAGGAAGCAGATGGCTGGTTTCCAACAGGGAACTCTCCCTTCCTGCTCCCCAGCACTCTCCTTTCACACTCATTTTCCAAAAGGGCTATCAGTGCCCTCACCCAAGCCACGTCATCTTTGAGCTGCAGGTCCAGTAGGCAAATATCAATTGCCTCATCCAGGTGTTTTGCCAGGAGGCCTTTACATGCCAAGCCAATGGTGGAATGTGCAAGAATTTGGTGGCAAATCTCCTGAGCTTTGGTGGCAGTCAGGCCATTGGGCGTGGGCCATGACAGTGGAAATTTCATCCGAACTCCTTCAAAGTAGTCCTCGGGGAAAAAATATGCAAAGCTCTCTGAGTGTCTCTGGGCAGGGCCATGCAGTGGGTGAAAGGATGAGTATTTAAAATACTTGTCTTGCCTCTTTGCTTTCCTTAGGTCTCCTGTTGGCTTGGTAGAGTTGATGGAACTGTTGCTATTCATGGAAACATTGTGTGGGAGAGGCTTTAGTGGGACCTCGGGGCTTCTGCGCTTTTGGACTGATTTAGAAAAATATCTTTGACCCAAAGTCTTGGGTGGTGGTTCGGCATCTTTTCTCAAAGTTGACTCTGTTACTGTGTGAGTGACAAACTCAGATGTAACATCCAGATGTGGGATTGCAAAGCTGTGGTCCACATGTTCATCATGGCAACCAGAGGGCTCAGGGGAAGGCATCTGAAAGGCATTTTTTGTGTTTACCATGGGGACAGGCTTGGTGCTCCCCTTCTGGCATCTGCAGAAACTTTTCCTTTGCTTCCTCTTGGAGGGTGCTGGAGTCTTGTCAAATAAACTCTTCCCTGGAGGAATTCTGATTTAGAAATAGGAAGGGATTAGAAGGAGAAAACTTTCAACAAATTAGTCTGTCATACAAGGAAACTTTCACTGAGGGTAGGGTAAGCATAAATTCCCAGTCTACAAAAGTACTTGAGAAAACTCTTAAGTTTAACCTCTGTTTTCTTAAGTCACTTTTGCACTGCCCTTCTTGAGTTGTTCTGTGTGTTTTCTAGCACTTCATGGAGACTTTTCATACCGGATGTTTAAGTGCTTTGCTGGAGCATTGCCTAACTGCTTGACTTCTCTTTGCAGGACTTTTTCTGAAGTGCACGTTGCCCTTTGTGTATTATACATGAAATAAGGCCTTGCATTTGTCCCTGGGTGACACAGCTAACTCTTGGAGAATGACAAAAAAGTCGTATTTGTTTCAAATCCTATATTATGAAAATCATCTTTATCTGTGTGCCTGATCTGCCCTCTAAGATGTATATTGCTAATTTTTTATTTTAAATGTCTTCCCCCCCCCCCCATTTTTTTTGCATACTTTATTTAATTCTTTCTTTCCTTCTACTTGAGTTTTGTTTGATTTTTTCTTTCAACACAAAGCAGTTCTCTGTTGATCACAGGGCCAGGCTATCATATATACTGAGATGATTCTATTCTCCCTTTTAAATTTAGCCTTTAATGATGGAGAAACTCCTAGAGACTTGAGTTTGAGTAAAGAGCCATGATTCAAGTTTCTTCAGAAATCTCGTATATCTTATTGATCTTATTTGTGCAACACAAGAGGAATTCTAGAGCTTCATGGGAAAGGATATGTTTCTTGTCCCAACATTTGGCAGCATGTCATTACCAGACAAATTTGAAATAGCACCAAAAATGAAAACAATTTTGGCATTAATTTTGTCTTTCAGCCAAAATGTTGGGGTTTCAGGAAAGTGAAAGCATTTGCCAACATATTTGAGCCAAACACTAGATACTGTTGTTGGAAACTGTAATTGCCTTTATCCAATTTGTTAGAAATGCATTTTAAATGGCATATTTGATATTACTATTTTGAACACTGACACAATCATAACTTTTAAATAGAACATCGCAGTGACACTGGAAAAATGAACCTATTTATCCTCCTGAAACATGAGCACAAATATTTTCGGACCTGTTTTGCCCAAAGTGTGGGCTCAGCAGGAGACAGTATGAGATAAAAGGGTGGTTTTCATGCTCATGGAAATACACAAGCTGTTCTGCACTTCCCTGTAGTCCAGGAAAATCAAACATTTTTCATGATTGAGACACTTGTCCTTTGGACAAAACATTTTAGTATCTGAATGAGTGTCCTACACATTCCATTCCTCTGGTTCTAATAAAGGGGTTATCTGCCTCTGAAGCTTCCCTGATTCAGCATCAAGTAAATTTAAACCTAGACCAAGGCAGCAGAAGAAGATCCTCCTTTGATATAATACTACATAAACTACTGTAAATATTATTTGTTTAATAAAAAAATAAATCAACCACATAAACTGGTCCAGAATCAGGACAGAAACAACGCAGCAATGAAAATTTCACTAAGATGAAACTCTTTTGCCTTGATATCTTACTGAAACAAAATCCTCTGTTTTTCCTACATTAAACCAATTACTTCTTTTGGTCAGCCCCTGTCCATGGAACATAGGTGTATGGTGTGGAAGGAATTGAAACCTCATCCTTCCTCACAGCCAGACACATAACAACAGCTCCTCAGCAAGCTCAGATGTGCCTTCTGTCCCCTGCATGAGATAACCAAACCATAATTCCTTTAAGCCACCCACTATAATGCAGGAAAAACTAAAAAAAAATTTTTTTTTTTCATCTAATTGTGTTGGATGCTATTATATAGAAAGTGTCCAGAATTTAACAGCATTTCTGCTGGTTTCTTGGTATATTTTTAAATGTTTGAAGATTTTATTTTGCCTACTTAAATCACATGTTGGAAAATTCACCTCTTCTCTGGTTGCTATTTAATGGCTGGGAAGCTCTGATGTTGTTTTATTGTTTAAAAGTTGTGTTGGAAAGCTGGTGTGTAAAACTGATCTGTGCATGCAGGGCCCTGCAGCTGCTTGAGAGAGGTGGGAGCCAGGGAAAGCTCTGAACTGCCAGATGGTGGGCACTCAGACTAGCTTCAGGTGCTGGAGAAAAGCTAGAACAATTTCAGGGTTATTTAAAATGAAATTAAAAACAGCAGCAGTAAAGCTTTTGTTTTTTACTGGGCTGTTTCTCGGTGAGCGGATCAGAGAATGATCCAGTCTCCTCTGGAGGTGACCTTAATTTCTCTATTGGTTTGGTTTCTAACCAGGTTCTGAGGGGTCCTTGAGAATACATCCTTGGGAGCAGTGCAAGATGAAACTCACCACCCCTCTTGCCCTTCTCACTTAGCAGGAGCTTCTGCCTTCCCTGAAGAATCTCCATCACACAGCTCTAGAAAAATCCTCATAACTAAATTCCTTTGCACTGCGCTTTGGCTTCAGCTTTTACAACAAAATTGCTTTGAGCAAGTTCTCCTAAGGACCTTTTAGCCCTTTTTTTGGGGTGGTGAGTTAATGGCTGGTTCTTGCACCAAGCTATTTCTCCATTTGCCTTCCCAGAAGCAATCTCTGACTGATTACCCCATTATTTGGATGCTGATGATGGCTGTTGAATTCAAAATAGCAGAATTTATAATGACAGAACAAAATAGACATTAAATAACCCATAGACATTACTTAGGCCCACTGAATAGAACTAGAATATGGCAGAGGTGCTTGTTTATTTTCTGAAGTATAAGAAATCTAAAAATTCAGTGTTCCTATAGATTGTGCTGGGCACCCATGTACAGATGAAGTGGAATGTTGCAGTGTTTTGCCTTCTTTTTCCTTACTTCACAAACCAGGCTAGACAATTTTGGTTTTAGGAACACCTATTAGGCATGTTTGAAGTTCAGCAACAGAAATTAAAATGTGGGATAGGAATAGAGACAGGAGTAGGGATAGGGACAGGGGCTGAGACAGGGAGATGTCAGAATCAGACTCCTGGCTCTGTTTCCAAACCATCTGTCCCAGAAAGTACAAGTTTTCAGAGCTCACTGTCATCATTAGCAGAGTTGATATTAGGTTTTAGCATGATACATATATTACCAGCCTTTGTCAAAGTGTAACATTTAATCTATACTCGCATATTGTAATTAGCATTCAGGAATAAAAGAACAAGAGAAATACGAAACCCTTGATTAATCCCTATTGTCAGCTACCTACATTTTCAAGTGTGGGTGAGAACTGCATTTTTTTAACAGCTGAGAGGGATCTTAACACAGCTGTTAACATGACATCACTTGTGAATATAAAGCTTCTCTCTTGGTAATGTGTTTTGTGCTGACAGAAAATTAAGCCCCTGTGCTGCTGGGATGGAGATGGGTCTTCAGACTTCTCTCTTAGCTTAAGTAGGTCTCTCTGTCAGGCCATTGGGGGAAACTGTAATGAAATAAACCCATCAAGGCCATGTGGAACACTGCTGGGAGCATCTCCTGGGTGGGATCTCTGTGGCTTTGTACCTCCACTCCTCTATGAAGTCTTCCTCGGGCACGTTGTTGAGATCGTTGTGAGCCATCCCATCAAAGAGGCCGCACAAGCCCCGCGTGTTGTTGAAGTCCCTGCCCGGCGTCCTCACTGTCACACCCATTCCCCACTCGCTCAGGTCTGCTCGAACAAATGCTCCTGAAGGGAACAGGATCTGAAGAAGCAGGGAAAAAAAAAAACAACCCCAGTGAATTGAAGCTCTTACCAAGCTTTTTATGCAATAAAAAACGTCTCTTTCCATAAACGAAAATTTCAAAGCAGGACGTTAGCGATGGCGGAGGTAATTTAAGATCACTTAGAAGCACCATAAATATTTATTTGTGCTATTATTTAGCTTGCTTTCAGATTCCATGGCATTAATATCTGATAGCATTACATAAATATATAACCGCATGAGTACTTTTTTCTTAAATTAATATTTGCATCCATTGAAGTTTTCACAGTGGTAAGTTACCAGATAATTTTTGAAGTGACTTCCATGACAATAAGGCCACCCTTGTGTCTTTTATATTAATAATTTTACAATAATAACTTTTTTTAGAGAAATTGTCAAGATTGAAAAAACTTTCTTCTGAACAATTGTTTCATCTTCCAAGGCTGGATTATCCAGAAAATGATTGTGTTTTAAAGTGGATAAAGCAATTTTCTCATTAAAGGACTAGTGGTAGGCTTACACTGACCTTTAAAAGGAAAAAAAACCAACCTGGCAGGGTTAAAAACAAGAAGTAACTGTGTGGATAATGGATTTTTCAGATTGGTTTACTAACCAAATAATAAAAAGGAGAAAAAAAAGGCAAAAAGAAAATATCTATTCAACTGATTTTTTTTATTTGCTGTATTTTTACAGGTTAAAAAAACTATTTGAAAATTATCTGGGCCTGGAGAGGGAGGAGAAATACACTATCCTGATAAGTAGTATTAATACTTTGTTTTTATCCAAAATGAAACATTTTCAGTTAATCTTAAAAAATACATTAGAGTTGCAAACATCTCATTATAATAATTTCAAAAGAACTATTTTCCTTTTTTAAGTGGCTCCTGCCTAAATATAATTTATTCATTCAAATAATGTCCTTTGTTTTCCTTTATTTTGGGTGGGGATTTTCTGGTCCCTTTGAAATTCCTCCCCATCAAATATACTCATATCTGTGAAGGCGTAACAAACTCATATGTTTATTCTTGTGCTTGAATCCAGAGTTTACTCAGAGTTTGGCTTCACTAAATTATAATTCTGCCCATTTTAGTTCTCCATTACTTCAGGCTTTTTCTAGAGGGCTGTGTGTAAAACCCTTGCAATCAGAACTGCACAAGCTGCTCAGTCTTCTGTGCTGTCCAGATTAGTATTTCCAGGTGTGGATTTATTTTGGGAGTTTGGAGGGCTCTAACCCTTTCCCTTCCTGCTGCCCAGGGCAATGCATCCCACCTGGATTTAATGCTGCTAATTGAGGCTTCAAAGAAGGTTTTTTGAGACCTGAGTTTGCAGAGTTATTTAGTGACTGCCTGGTGGAAGCTGCCACTTTGCGTGACCCAAACCCATTCCAATCCTCCTTGAACATTGTGGGAGCCAGATCCTGAGCTGCATGAGGATAATGATGGACAAGTGCTGGGAGAATTGGAGGGCACCCTGCTCGGTGGTGTGCTCATGGATCTTGTTCACTGCTGCAGAGTTCCTGTAGATCCCCACTGACATCACAGCAGGATTCACATTGTGTCCCCAGTCTGCCCTGATTTGTTTCTCTGAGTTTTACCTCAGGTGTAAATGAGATTACGGATTCCTTGCTAAGATTATCCTAGTAATAAAACAGTAATTATATTGCATTCAGTTGCAAAATGAAATGACAGCTTGATTCCTGCTTTTTCTCTATTCTATAATTATCAGACTTTCAATTACTACCTTCCTGAGGTCTATTCCAAGTGAGATCACAAGGAGAGCCAAGCACAGGCACTTCCTGTATCATTCTGGCTCAGCTGTGGACCAATCTTTATCCAAAACATTTCATGGCAATAAATCTTGATGATACAACTGTAGGATAAAATTATCTTCTTGGCCATAATTTGCAGCTCTTTTCCTTACCTAAATCCCTGGTGCAGCCTGCTCTTATTTTTCTAGTGATTTCAGTATATTAGTGTGGATAAGCAATACTTATGCAAAGTAAGTTGTGGCCATATATTTGTTTAGGCAAATGCTTTATGTTACAGCAAATGTTGCACATTTACAGCCCATTTTCATAGCTTCTGGGGGCTCTCTGGATCTGACTAATAGTGTCTTACTGCTCCACTCAAAAACTCCATTACTCCACTACCTGTGATCTTTCCTTGCATATTTATATCTTGAGCTCTGCAAAGAAATTTGTTTTATGTGATGTGGTTGGGTAGTGCCTGGCATAAGCAAACACGGAGTGGGCTGCCATGCTGCAGAGAGTAAGCAGTGCTATCCGAGCTCCGCTGTGTCGCCAAGAAATTTCCAGAGGTATTTGTTTTGTTTTGTTTTACACTTCGCTAAACCAACACTTCAACCAGCTACTTCCCTGACTGCTGTTTTGCAGTACATTTGGCTAGAGGCACTCTGATGGCTTCAGATATTTTTGTAGCAACTTCATTGATAACTCAGAAATATTAAACGTGTGTTCTCAAAGCACAATCACCACAAGAGCGCTCAACCATCCACGCACGTACTGTTATTTTCCTGCCTCCGTACGACTTCAGGATTTTGACTTGTGGCGATGTTTCGGTGCTTTTGATGGTCAGCTGGGGCCTGCTATCCTGAAAGTGGCCATTACAGGTGTCCAGCACCACGGTGTCACCCCCTTCTCGTGCAGCTACCCCGCAGTTGCAGGCGGTGGCGGAGCGGTGGCCGCCGCAGTCCCACTGCCGGACGTGCACCTCGAACGCCCGCGACTCGCTGCGGCACAGCAGGAACGTCCCGATTTTATGGCTGTCGTAGCGCCTGAACAGCCACAAAGAAATAAAGACAGGGTTAGACACCCTCAGCATGTGTGTCGCCGCAGGCCCCAGCTGGGTAATAATTAGCATTGACTCCATGATTGCAGAAGGCTGATCAATTGCTTTATTAAATCATCCTATACTATATTATACTATACTTATTAAAAAACTCGGTAACTCTTACAGCCCTTCTGATACGTCTTTGACCTAATTGGTCAATCAATCCAAACACCATCCAGTGTCTAATTAAGAAATCACTTTTTGGTACACAAATCTCCATGACACATTCTACATGCGCACAACAGCAGCTGCAACAAGTGGAGATAAGAATTGTGTCTCATTTTTTTCTCTGATTTTCTCACAGCCTTCCCCAGGAAAATGCCTGGGAAAGTCTGTGCCTGCTCTCTGTGGCCAAAGAGCTGCTGCCACACCTGTGTTGAGTGCTTGTTGGCATTCTTACTCCATAATTAGAGCAGAGTGCTGGCTGGCCTTGGAGGAGGGAACCATGCACACATGGGGTAGAGTTTCTCTGGCTCTGTATCCAAGGGAACGCCGCGGCAGTTGCTAGCTGGAAGTGCCTAAGGATTCCTGTGAAAAGCAGGAGTTGTGTCCCAGCTGCTGCCATGGCAATGGGCATAGATAAAAAGGGTAAACATTTGATATAAAACAAATGGGAAGAAGTTTCATGCCTCCAGGTCTTAATAAATATATTTTGGTTCTAACTGGTTGCTTTTAGAACACGATGTTCTTCAAAGGGAAATCAGTGCTCAAATAACCTCTTCTGTGACTAATCACCAAATTTTACAAGTCTGGCTGTGGATAGGTAAAGGCTTCCAATGCAAATCTGGGATTCTACTGAAAGCCAGCTAAAATGAAGTTTGTTCCTCCCCCTCAGTGACTTGCCCCTAAGCACAATTTTCACACTCAATGGATCAGCAATCAACAAGAGCTGGTGTGGAGAACAATTTAGGACTTTCATTCTTTCATGTAAGGAATGTCCCTGGTCCATCTGGGCGAGGCAAGAGCAGGATAAGGTAAATTTAATAACTTTGCAAGTGTTTGGCCTCTGCATGAACCATCTGGAACCTCTGGGGTTTCCACAACAGAGGCCTGTGAAAGGACCCTCTTCTGCTTGTTCTTTGTGCTCTCACTCCATAAACTTGTCTCATTCTCACTCTCTTTTATGCTGTTATAAAAAAAGATATAGTAGCCATATACTTAATATTTGTTGTTGATGTTTTCTCCCTATAAGCCAACAACTTCCATCTTTAGAAACAATAGATTATTCTGCGTTCTTTTAAGGCACTGTGATTTGGTCTAAACTAAATTTTTATGAAATTAACTAAAATGGAAACTAAACTATAAGCTTATAATAATAAGCTTTATTATTTTCTACAATAAAAAAAACATTAAAATGAATGTATAAAATGTTTCTGCTAAGTAACAGGATTATTTTTTTAAACAGTTTGATACAAACGGCCACACTGTTTCAGGCCATTAATGTTTCTTATGCAGAGGAAAAAATGTCTTGCAAACTGTGACTTTTTCACATGTATATTTCTGTGTTTTGCTCCTCTTCAGAAAAAAAAGCTATAGATAACTTTGTAGCTTAAAACACAGGAAAAAATTTAAACTCCAGCTCCTTTTCTCTGATAAAAAAAACATCTGACTTTATCTTTCATCTTGAAAAACTTAGGTTGGCCATAAAGTGATAAGACATTGAATGGTTCTGTCTCATTCTATTTTCTAATCAGATACATAAATCCTGTATTACACTGCATAGATGCTGCTGCTAAGATTGATCAGAACTAAGGACAACGTGAAAAATAGATAATCTCTTTAAACCTCTGGTACTCACTCCATTTGGATATCTTTGTGGGGGAGAAAGAGGATATTTTGTGAGAGCACCTTCCACAGGTTCCTTTTCCAGAATCAGCCTAGAAGGAGAGGTGTTTAAGGAGGCTGATGGGAAATCAGGCATCAGGCTGGCTGCACCCAGACTAATCATCTGTCTGTTAAAGAAGGCTCTTTTTGCATATGCATATAAATGTCATTGCAGTCAGGGGAGCTATTTATTGCTTAATAATCACTGACAGTGGATCCAATCCAGCCCTCCTGGAAGTCACTCTGAGTCCTTCAATTAAGTCATGGCATAGATTGCATAGCACATAATGAACCTGCACTGTGCCTAAATCAGAGCTTTCAGGCACCTTCGAATCAGTTGAATGGATAATTGGATGTAGTCAGGTAAACTTCTGTGATGTTTATACAACTGTAATTGTGATAATGATTCTTTGGACAACCTTGGAGTTGCCTGTAGTACTAAATGCCTGAAGGAGGCTTAGAGCAACTCTTGCACGAGGGAGTTCTGCGTGTTCCTTGTGAACCAGGCACCACTGTTTGTGTCTAAATCTCCCCATCCTGCTTCCCTGACAGTCTGCAGCAGTGGGTAGACTGGATGGAAAGGGTTTCCCTCCCTCCCCCTCTATGTCCTTAGATTGTTTTCCAAGGGGGGAAGCAAGTTCTTGTCCTGGCACAAAGTCATGGCTCGGGTTATGCTCTTTATCCAGTAATTATAAAACACTCCTGAGTGATTGGTGATGGCAATGAGCTTCTCTAGGAATAATTTCTGTTGGTAAATCATAAGAGAGGGACAGAAGGGGTACAGATGTATGTAAACAACTACTTCCTAGTAGTGTTCAATTAACTCACATCCTGCACTTTACCTTTGTATTAATTCAGTGTTTTTTGTGGCCTTTCCTGAAGGTTTTCCACCACAGCTTTGCCACCAAATGATTTGATTTGTTGGCATGATGCTCCAGGCTCCTTCTTTCTTTGCTACTAGGAACTATTTTGTGGTAAGCTTGACCCTATGAAGAGCTGGGTGACACTGAAGGACGTTCTCTGCTTTCAGTGTTCATCCCATCATGTTGTTCTCAGAGCAGATGTTGGGTTGTATTCAGCAGGCACTGGATGCCTGGGGACAACCAAACTGCTAAAGACTATCAAAACACCAGCACCTGGCAGGGCTACTCATGCCCAAGACTTAGCTGTGGGCTCCTGTGATGAAAGTCATTAAAGCCAACAGGCAAATGGTGCCATTTCCTTGGTGATGATATTGCTGGGATAATATAGATTACTGTAAATTTTTGAGAAGTATGAAAAATCTTTTAACCTTTTTTTTTTTGTTAGATAAAATGCAAAATAACATAAATTATGTATATAGTTCCCCAATCAAAAAAAAAAAAAATCCTTTTTATTTTGCCCTAAAAGGATTTTCTGCATATTTAGTTTTAAGCTAGTACTTCATATTTAAGAATCTGCGATTTATGGCGTGAAAAGCTTTTATATTTATAATGTGCCATAACCAGTAATGAGGGCTATACTTTTGCTTTACCAGGCTTTCACATTTGTTTAATTTAGAAGGTACTTTGCTATAAAAGGAAGTGCTCTCTCTGGATTTTAGCTGGTATAATTAACATTATTTCACATCTACGCTCCAATATACACAAATTGATTGTGCTTATGCTGTAAAATATGACACTTTCTTCTTTGATTTTCAGTCACTGCCTTTGGTGAAAAGAATGAAAAGATTGCAAGATAAATATTCCTACAGACATATATTAGCAGGAGGCACAGGAAAGGGGAGTGTTATTAAGGAGTGGGAGTTGGGTATTTCAGCTGTCTAATGAATAGCTAGCTACCTCAGATGTAATGTGAGCTCACTATGTCAGATTAAAACCATTGGAAACATTACAATAGAAGTTAAAATTACATTGGAAGTGGCCATTTCAGTAAGAAAATTGTACTGCCAATAAGCAAAACACTTCCAGTCTTTTATTTTTTGTACCAATTTTTGATTTTCCAAATTTATTCAAATAAATATTTTTATTGAAGTTAAAGTTTATTTTTTTAATTATTTTAGTTTAAATTTTGAAACCACAAGAAGGTTCTCATTTCAAACACATTTTTCCACCAGATTCCCTTCCATGAAAAAAGGGGAATGCTTCCCTTCCAGGCTTCTATGTCAGCCTTTGCCTTCAGATTATAGTTTTGTACCAGGACCGAAGCAGGAATTGCTTTCCTCACTCCTTAAAGACAGAGCTTTAAAATAATTTGTTAACGTGGTAACAATTTTTTTGGACAGGCAATCAGAGAAGTTGCTTAACTGATGTGCAATAAGGTAGCCTAATCATTATAATAATTGAAAGAGAAATTATTTACAATAATAAATGGGAATATAAGTAGGAGTAATGGGACTGTGAAATGATGGGTAAGAAACTTGGCTGAATATCAAGAACTGATACATCTTAGGGAAATAACCTAGTTATTGAGATGGAGGAAGTCTTATCAGTGTGGCTCATTTAAAGCTGCACTGGACAGAGCAGTGGTGAATGTTTGTCCACAAGGAACAAAGTGCAGCTTTTGAGGGGCCAAGCTGATCCTGGGTTTTTCCTCTTTTGAGTCTGTGTGTCTCTGAGGCAGGATGACACAGACAGATGGGCTTTTCCAAACTCCCTGGGTCAGAACAGAGCATAAATTGCTTAGAAGCATTTCTGTGTGATATCAACAATAGGATTAAAAAATGAGTTATTCAAGTAAAATTGCTTTATTTGGTTTTAGACTATTTTTCCCCCATGGAAGCAATGTAAAAATGTGCTTCATGGCTGGAAGGGTGTCCCCATTCCAAGAGGTATTTTTCAGCTTTTTATAACTCCCTAAACCCAAGAATCTGACAGATCACTGCCTGTTCCCAGCCCTAAATCAAAAGGGAGTATTTTAGAATATAAATGTGTAGAGAGGTTTGAAATAATACTCTGATCTAGTTTAATATCCCAGAGTGGAAATAATTGCAGCTACATGAGGTATGGGAATATCTTTGAACCTCTTGCAGCTCTAATGAAGCTTCCTAAGCAAGAAAAGCACCCAAACTTGTATGAAACAAGTTCCTGGTCACATTTAAATGCTACTCAGCAAAGCAGAAGCAGGACTGGGAAACCACGGATAAGCAGAGTTAATCTCCTCTCAGACTGCCCAATTTATGTGAAATCTCTGTTAGAAGCAGAAGTGTAACCTTTAATGGAGTCACTGCCTTTCTTACTCACAGTTCATCAGCAGATTGCTCCAGCTTTGACATCATTTCAGACACCACCTCCAGAGCATGTTGGACTGAAATTGGGATATCAGGATAGCAGAAATTCACACCTGCCAAGCCCTTGTGGATGCTGTGCACCCAAAGTCATTGTCTGTGCCTTCAGGAGGTTAATGGTGGAATGACAAAATTGGAATGTCATCTGAAATATTTGCAACATTGGATCAAATAGGCCAGGTGCAAATTTAAAAAATTTTCAGTGATGCCAATTAGCTGGGATAAGCAGATTCATGAACGATTAGGAGAGTTAAATGTGGAAAAGTTCTATACAGCACAGGCTGTTAAACACAAAGGCACCACTTTAAGCAGCTTATCCTGGGTAAATCAGGAGGACATTTGGACACTACAGGAGGATGTACAATTTTATTTTTGCATTCTCCTCCTGACATTTGACACTTATAATTTCTGCACTTTTTTATCTGAGACAGTACAGTTATCTTTTTGGGGTTTTTCAATTATGTTTATGATTGTCAGCTCCAGCTGGACATAACTCAGCTCTGGAAACAGAAGAAATCAAGAGCATCCTTCTGATGAGTGCCTTTGCAGCGGATGTTGCTGAACTCCTGAGTGTGCTGTGCTGCCTGGTGGCATAACATGTCACTTGGGTGGCACTGGGGTGTCACTAACACAATGACTTGTGGTGTAGACATCCTCACAAAACACTAGTGATGTGATTTGAAGAACTTTTTAGAACCTGACCTTTGTCTTGTAAAAATTATTCAGACTCAAACCCATTGCTTCTCAAAGAATAATCTATTTCTAGTCCTTTTGTTAAAAGGAGTACACGGCTGGAGGGAAACCACTTGTGCTGTTGAAGGAGTACATTCCTCATTGAAAGCAAACCTCTTCAATGTTTTTTTGATATTCTAATGTAAACTCAAATGCATGCTACATCCAGACACTGATAACTGCAGTAATTGAGCCAAATTATTTCAAAGTAAAATACTCACCATCCATCAAATGTGATAATATGTGGATCAGTGAAAGAGTAGCAGTTCCCTGTTGGGAGGTCTCGAACTGTGACCTAGTTAGAATGAAATGTGTAATGAATACAGTCTACACAGAAGTTTTCCTTCATTACTGTTCCTCACAAAACATTAGGGACAGATTCATGGGTTAAGTACAAACTACAATCTGACTTCTGAAACATGATTGCAGATGGGGACAAAATAGGTTTCAATTTCAAACAACAGAGTTTAATCATAGCCAGTGAGGGAGTTCAAAGTGTTCCTGTTCATCTGATGTAATGTCTTCCTTTATTTGGTAAAAGCTGAAGTTGTTTTATTAAAACTTTTTGCTAAAGAGCAGATCATTCACTGAAATTACCAGAGAATAGAGTGCTTATTAAATTGTACTAATTTTAATGCCTGAAGTATGGTAAAAAGGTATGCTGTAGTTAAGTAACATTAGCATGTTTTAGTAGTAGCTGCTTGTCCCCTAATTTGACCTCAGATTTCCCATTACAGAATCTGAATGGCTGCTTTATCTATTTGATGTGGATATTGATCAGATATTGATGAGGAGGCTTCAAACCACGCTGCTTCAAGTATGTGGGTGAAACAGGAAAGTATCTACTACAGTTACAGAGATCTTCATCTGCATCAGCCCTTGACTGCTTGGGCACCAGCTGGGTCACAGAGGAGCTGTGAGGGGCAGGGAGCAGATGTGGCTGCAGAAGCCAGAGGCAGGGCTCTGCAGCTCTAACACCTGAATCTCAGGCAGTGCTGGGCCCACACAAGCGTGGTTTTTGAATGGCTGAGTGCTCTGCTGACCAGCTCCCAAAAACACAGGACTGGGTTGTGTAGTGATTTGTGATATGAAGAGCTCCCAGTCATACTGGTGGGAGTGATGGAGTGTTATAGTTTTCCATTATCCATCCTGACAGACTGATTTCTTGGCCAGGGCTGTTAATTCTTTGCTCCCTCCTTGCCCATGAGGAGTCCAGAGGTGCACTTCAGTTAGTTCTACCAGGATCCATGGAGCAGGGAAGAAGGATGGCTGCTATATCCCTGTGCAGTCTTTCAGTGACAAAGCAGAACTTGGCTTTTGGGAACAGGAGTGAAATTAAATAAATGAATTAGAGGGTGAAGATAGAACTTCGGTTCCTGACAGCATTCCTCACCTGCAGCAATACATCATCTGTATTTCAAAATGCCCCTTAACCATGACACAGGTTAAGCATGACTTAAATGCTCACCTGTGTCTGGCACACCAAACTTTTAGAATGATGGTCTTGAGGACTGAAAAAAAGAATCCCTCTTTGAACAACTTTTTGATCTGGAGTCAGCTGTATCATTTGGATTTACTGTGATATGAAGAGCCTCAGAATTTTCCCATTTTCTCCACAGCCTCACACTTCCTAAGTAAAAAATTAGCACAAACAAATCCATGTGGCCGTTCCTACTCTGCTCCTTCTTGCATGATGTCAGCAGAAGACACAATTCCTGGTTGGAGGCAGGAGTAGTTTAATGAGAAAATCCTGTTTACAGGTATCAGGATGTTCTGCCCACCATTTCTGTTCAATTTTCAGATAAATCAAAATTATCTGAACAAGTCAGAAGGATTAAAGACTATGTGGATTTTAATACATGGAGTTTTTCTTGCTATCTTGCAAGAACTATGTTATATTAAGGCCTCTAATTAACTACAAAGCAGCAATGGGAAAATGGGGGGGAGGGAAGTATTGTCTATTATATTTCCATAGATCAGGTTTTAACAGAGATAAATGAAATTTATTATTAAATTTGATTTATTCAATTTCACACTTGATACATCTTCATATTTTAATGAAAGAATTTGTAATTTCAAGAAAAAAATATGAGCGTATGAGTGCATGATGCTGAATTAGCTGTAATTTCTGTTTTAAGAATCTTAAAAAGAAGCCAGTTCTGGAGATAAAATGTTATACATCCATGTAGGCATTTTACCTTTGAAGACAAACTTTATTTTGCTCCAGTTTAATCTTATTCTTTCATGACAAAATCCACAAAAATTAGGGCAGGGAATCTGTGGATTTCACTGGGGGGTTGCTTTCAGTTACTTAAGACATGCCAGCTTGGATGTACCCCTGCTCTGAGAAATTTATCTCAGCCAAATCTGTGCTCTGGTTAATTTTTTGGAGCAGTGGGATTACAGCTCTCAAACCTCCCAGCTGAGGTGCTGAAATAACTTCATGGAGAAAGGGCTGGTCCTTGTTCACCACATCACTCAGCCAGGCTTTCTACAGGGAAAGTGTGGCTTGCCTTCCTGATTGCTTTTTTTTTAATTATTATTTTGGACATTTTGTAGTGGTATAAGTGAAGAGATGGAGCAGCCCCATGTGTCATTGAAAGTGTCCTGGCAATTCATGGCACAGTCACAAACTGAACATGGCACTGCTGAATCCCCTTCTCCTCTCTCCTTTCTGAGGCTCTGCCTTTCCTCTGCTTTTTCAGAAAATGTTCTCCAAACCCTCAGTTTCCCCATTCCTCCTTCTCAAAAAGGTGCTTGTTCCCTAACCCATGTTTTCCCTCTCCCCTTTTCCAGTGGACAGAAGCACTCCTGGTGACCTCTGTGTTCCAGCTCTTGGCCTTACTGATGGGCTGACTAATAATCAAACCTAAATCTGTCAAATCACAGGGAATTCCATGTTAATTTTCTTGGTGTGTGAAGTGACTGCTTTGCTTTACTCTGCTGACAGAGGGCAGGGTGAGATCAGATATTAGGAAAAAAATTCTTTATTGTGAGGATGGGGAGGCCCTGGCACAGGGAGCCCAGAAAACCTGTGGCTGCCCCTTCCCTGGAAGTGTCCAAGGCCAGGTTGGATGGGGCTTGGAGCAACCTGGGATAGTGGAAGGTGTCCCTACCCATGGCAGGGGGTGGAATTGGATTATCTTTAAGGTCCCTTCCAACTAAACCATTATAACAATCATCCTAAAATTTTATTGTCTTTGGAAAAGAAAGAAAAAAATTAAAAAAAAAAAAAAAAGGAAAGAAAAAATAAAATAAAAGACTCTCATTTAGATTTGCCACATCTTCCAACTGATTTCAGGACCTAACCTTCACATCCCTGGGTGTGTAATCCCTCCAGAGCGAATCCCTTGGTGCGGCTGGGCGGGCGCTGATGCGGCTGACGCGGTCCCCGTCCTGCGCGAAGTCCGTCACAGCTGTCACCGTCACCGTGGCCGCTGCACAGCTGCTCCCCGAGCAGGGCTCCGGCAGCAGATCCACCTGGCAGGCTGAGAGGGCGATGTCTGGGGGCCCTGGGACCTGCCTGCCTGGAGAGAACACCAACACAGAGTCTGACAAGAGTCACCCAATGCGCCGCCCGCGCCCCATGTTCTGTTCAACACAAGCGCTTCTTGTTCCAGGACACGCATGCCTTGGGTCTTAGGTTGAAAGATTTAGCTGGGGTATGTATTCTATTTGTCATCTGCTAGAGGTCGGGCAGTTCTCTTCTGGTCATTGGGCAGTTTTCTTTATCTTTTCCACAACCAATCCTCCCTCCCAGAGATATCTGCTGTTAATGGGCCAGTGAGTGTCACTGCATGAGGTTGCATCATCCCATTGGGAGATGTTCCACCCAGGGGAGGAGCCAAGCATTCCTACCTGGATACAATCTGACTTTTGGGACACCACAGCAGCCTTTGCCCACTGCATTCCCAGAGGAGCAGCTTTCTTCCCCACTGCATTCCCAGAGGAAGCCCAGGCCCATCCACACCAGCCCTGGAGCTCCAGAGGAAAACTCCCACCTTGTGCAGGATCCTGCTCCAGCAGAAGCACAGCTGGCACTGCAGGAGGGCTGAGCCACCATGGGATGGGACTGCTGCCACCTCCCTGACCCACAGGGTGTCAGGTCGTATTCTGACTCTGGAAGTGGTTTGCTTTTTTTTTTACTGTTGAATTTTATTTTTTTAAATTCTCCTAGTAAAGAGCTGTTATTCTTATCCCCATATCTTTGCCTGAGAGCCCCTTTAATTTCAAAATTATAATAATTTGGAGGGAGGGTGTTTACCAAATTTTCCATTTCAAGGAAGGCTCCTGCCTTCCTTAGCAGCCACCTGTCTTTTTAAACCAAGACAACTTGGAACCAGATGGGCTTTGCATGAAGACATTTGTGACTGAATCTGGCATCCCTCTTCAGTCTTCACTGTGCTGCTTTTTTATCCCAAAAGTTTACTAAAAACTCAGTGGTGTCTATTTTTCCACAGGTGCTAATATTTCTGGGACAATGGTGGGTCCATGCCCAGTGAATGAAGACAAGTTGTTTTCATGACAAAGAAAGAGATGAATCTGTGTTTCTGGAAAACAATTCTCTTACGCTGTCTGGAGGATAAGGAGGTATATGCTGGGAGTTATTTAATTTAAAATAAACAGGTGTTTTGATGTGAAAAGGGAGGGTTCTTGAGTAAGTTTTTTGTGAACTATGGATCCACAACAGCAAGGCAAATGTAGCAGGTCTGTATTTGTATTTTTTGGCTTAGTTATGTTATGGTGTTCTGCTTCCCAGTCTGTAAAATGATGATAGTTTTATTTGTATCCCTCACAGAAGTATTGTGCTGATAAATTCACTAAAAATGAGGAAAAATAATAAGCTATGGAGATACTGGCTATGTCAGCATCTGCGGTGGGTAGAGAAATGATGTGTGGTGACAAAATCAGTGTGACAATGGCACTGCACTGTATCTTTTCTAAAGAGACCTCTACACACAGCCAGAATGGCAGCATCCACTTCTCTCAGATCCTGACTCTTTCTGCTGAGGTCTCAGGTAAACCTGGATTTTTATTTCCATAGGTGTGTTTTCCCTTACACACACCGAATTATGATAGCAGTTATTTCTGAGCCATCTGGTCTGCACTGTATTCAGTGTGCATTTTCTTCTCAAGAAGCCACTCAAGCTTTCATGAATCCTTTTGTTGATAGGAAATGAAACTGTGGTCGCACTAAAGCCAGTCAGAATCTAAGTGCTGATTTCATGACTTATAGTGTTTCTTGAGGAATACTTAGTTTTCTGTCCCAGACCGCCAATTGTCACCAGATAAGAATAAAGTTCTAGAAATGGTGGCCATAAATTTAATCTGAGATGAAAATAAATGATTTTCTGATATTAAAATAAGTGATTTTTATACTATTCTTCCCATTTGTTGAATTGCTTAATAATTTCTAGAGATAGCAATAAAGTATTTCAAGATAGCATTTCTAACACAATCAAATAATCACTGTCTTATTCCTTACGGGAAAATCTCATGAAATATAATTCAAATTAACCCTGTACAGTACTATGGGAACTGAACTAAAATCTACAATATTAATGACATATTATCTCTCATATCAAATCCTTAAAGGCTGCCTCACCTCACATCCTATAGAAAAGTCCTGGCTCATTTTCAAGGTTCTTGATTCAATTAAATTGGAGGTTTCCATGAGGAATAGTTACTGCCATTACGGACAGCCCCATGATCTGTGCTCAAAACCCAGAACAAAAGTGTAAAATCAAAGAAAATCATCTTGTCAAAATAGTAGCGATAAACTTAACAGAAGCTGAACTCCAGTGGCTCTGCTGTGCTTTGGCATTCATTATGATATTGTCTGAACTTGGAGAGATATTTCTGTGCTCGTAATTAGCTTTCTTATCACTTATTCCCTACATAATTAGCACAACAGTGTAGTTATATGGATGCAGTCAGACAAGGAGCTTGTCAGTTAATTTATTCTGTATAAACGAATCGCAGCTAAAATGGTTTTTATTTTTAATTTCCAGCACTGTGGCCAGCACACATTTTTCAGAAGCCCGCAGTGTTCCTTCAGATAAACTAATGGGCCCTAAAGACAATAAAGGCTCAGAGCAGATCCCCAGCCTTAAGTACATATAGATAGCTCAATAGATAACAGCCCGAGTGTCATCCCAGGAAACAGCCTCAGGATGGAGCAACCAAGGGCTAGAGCTGGGTTTAGTTTAAGCTGCAGAAATGAGTTGATTGAGACTAACAGAAATTTTCCACTTCAGTGACAACTTCCTTCAAACACGAGTTAATTGGACGAGCTGTGCTTTCCTCCTGACACCTCTTGGCACCAACACATCAAGCCCATTGACAGCTTAAAAATAGAGCTGCTTCTGCAAGTCCTGTATCCTCTCTTTCTTCCAGTCAGGTGCACACTGTGGGACTGGAGGAGACCTTGTGAGGGGTCAGTCTCAGTCCAGTGTGCTGAGAGCTCAGTTTCCCCACCTGAGAGCTCCTGGTCAATGCTCTCAGTGTCAGATTCTGAAAGCCTTGATGGATACCTAAGAAAACGTGAGTTAAACGAATGGCCTTGACTGGGACTAATTCCTGTCTGATCCACAGTGTCTGAGCTGCTTGGGGTCTGTGGAGATGTCCCAGCACACATCCCAGTCCCTCAGTGTGAGGCAGCCTTTCCTCCACCTGGCTACACAAGGAAATCCATTCCCACGAGCTCAGAGGATGTTTTCCTGATGGAGCAGCACAGACTCCAAGCCAAGAGCAGTGTATAGAACAGAGCAGCACTGAGCCATGGAGAAATGCAAAGTACTTCATGTACAAGAGCCAACACAGCTGCTGGAACCATAAGGTGCTGCTCAGTTTAAGTTCATTGTGTTATGATACCATTTAAATTATTTTTCTTTCTTCTGTCTAAGCACTTGGCTGATGGTGAGGAGAGCTAGGAAAGGGAATTAAAAAGAGAAAAATATCAGGACCTATCTGGGTTTTGCCAACATTTTTTAGAGCTGTCTTCCTGTGGGTAGAGAAACTGCAGCTGTAATCCTACCTCTAAATAATTTTCTCATTGAGTCACTTAAGGAAGAGAAAGAAGTGACTTGTTGGAAAAGAAAGAAGTGACTTGTTAGAAAAAAGGTTGGGTGTTTTATTTAGTGCAAATGGAAAGTAAATATTTACGTGCCACCTTTAGGCAGGAAGGGTATTCCACCTGATTGACTCGAAGACAGCATTTACTAGGTAAAAGGACAAGAGTTTTCTCAGTGACATTGTCAAGGTTTTAAAGTTAATAAAATAAAAAAAAAAATCCTAAATGTTTAGAAAGAGAATAATACATAAGCGCAAGAATGATTTTTTCCTTCTGTATTAAGACAAAAACTATAAGCCAGCAAAAGAAAGAAAAAAGGCTTCACTATGCATTTACTGAATAATAAATCAGCAGGGGAGATTTTTATTGATAATTAATGAAATTATTCTACCTAAGAACATTCTTGCTACAAAAAAACCTTAAAAATGGAATTTACGCTCCTGGAATTTAAAATAAGTTCTTCTACTCTCAGTTATTTAATCCATAAATCTCAACAGACTACTGTTCAGGTTATTGCTAGTTAGATTTATGGCTTTAGAGGTTTTTTTTTCTCAAAAATCTGTCAGATATAATCAGCTGTTTTATTTTGCAGATAAAAATATGGCCTAGTTTACTGATTTTTTGGCTTCTGCCCTTTGGTATTATTTATATATAATATTTTCTATTAGAATTCATTGTAACTTAAATACTGGAAAAAGGGATCACATTGATTTGATGTCAATATGTAAAACTCTTACCCAAGTCCTCAGTACTTAGTTGCAAAGTCATTTTACAGGAATCATCCTGCCCAGGACAGGCAATGGGTACCGTGCTCAGGACAGTCAAAACATGCTCCTTGCCATCCTCTGCAATTTCTAGTGATTCTGGTAAAAACTGGAAATAAGAAAACAACTCTAAGATCATTTTGACAAGCAGGAGTGATGACAGATTAATCAGGCAATGTAGACATCTATGAAGTCTAAAGTGGTTTTCACCAATTATTAAGATATATGATTACTTACAAAATAATAATAATCTTTATTATAATCTTCTTAATAATAATAAATTTTGCAATAGTGATCTTCAACTTTGTAAGGTAAAATTGCTGTTAATATACTTTAACATACATTTTTGGCAATTAAGAAAATGTTTGCAGTTCCCATATATAATGTGTAATTGCTTCTCATCTCCAAATCAGAAAGCCAGCTTTTATTAAGCCTGAGAATAATACTGTAGAATTTATTTAATTTTTAATATCCCTGGTTTAAAGGAGCTCCTACTCCAGTACAGTAGGAAAAATACCATGTCATAAAGTCTGGCATAACCTCATGGTCATGGACTTCATGTTTGTAGTCTGCACCAGGTGCAAAATAATTCCAATTTTTCACCAATTCTCCTTCCCTGCTATGGCAGGAAGAATTTCTCTGCACATAAAATATTACAGGTTTGGAGACCCCTATCCCCAGGGGCAGAGCTGGGATTGTGCCTTTTCTGTCTGCCCACTGTCCTGGGAAAAGAGCAGAGATAGCGTTCAGGGCTAGTTGGAAATGGGAATTTCCACTCCCTGGGAGGATTCCGACATTTAAAAAATTCCTCAGAAACTGCTCTTCAGAATGGGCTGCCAGATGTTTGAAACCCCTTTCATGGAGGCATGACACTCAGAAGATCCCAAAATCTCATGGGCTGCCAGGCTGACAGCCTAATCCTTGAGTGGGATTAGACCTGGTCCTTGCTCTCAGTGTGAATTTATCTTCAGCAACTTCTCTTTTGTAATGCCTGACCGTAACAAGATGATGGAGAAAAATTCATATTTTGTCTTCACTTTGCTCTGGTTTAGCTACAACAGAATTGTGTATCCTTGCAGGTTTGTAGGTGTGTGTTCCCATCACACAAAACCCCCAGAGATGTTCAGGGCACATTTACTAGCAATTTGCTCATACTTTGTGGCACATCAGTGTCCATATGTGCACATGGTGCCAGTGGTGCTTCAGGGTGTTTCACAGACAAACTGAAAGCCATTTTCTCAAAGTGAACAGCACTGCTTGTGATGATCAGGACTAATGCTTCTTCATCATGGTTTTCAAATATTCCCTAGTCAGTGACTCCAGGCCATGGGCATTACCTTAATCCCAGCATAGAAACCTTTGCTGTCCTCAGGCAGTGACTGCTGCTCAGGAGTGCCCCTCCTAAAAGCTGTGACGGTGCAAAAGACCTGTAATAAATAAATAAACAGCACGTGCTAGAGCATTTCTTGAATAACATTTGTATAATTATTCATCTTCCTGTTGCTCAGAGTTTTTAAGCTTTCATTCTCCTGCTGAGATATATTTTGGGGATTTGGGCTTTGGGAATGTTCATGTATAAATTTTGAGATTTGGAAGAATTTTTGATGCATTTAATAAGCAAAGAAGTATGGCTTTTGTCTCAAGAATTAATAACACTTTATGCTTACAATGTGTTTTCTTCTACAGTTTTTAAACACCTTGGTTTGTGATTTTGACTCCTTTTGCTAAGGAAGAATTATATTGTTCATAGATGTCACTGTCAGAATTTAGACATGTGTTCTTGGGATCCCAGACTCCAGCCTGTCCACTGGATCAAATATCTTCTCTCTGTATCATGTTTTCAAACCTTTTATTTTAAAATGTAAATTTGTTTAACAGTCATCCAGTCTCAGAAACTTTGTCAGCAATAAGAGAAACTTCTATTTTTTCCCCTTATTGTTTTATAAAAGATGATGCAGATGTGCCTACAGGGTTTATATTGTATTAAGAAAAGTAAGAAAATTCACCCAAATAAAAACTCATCCAAACACAATGTACCAGGACACTTATGTTGTATTCCTAGCACAGCCACACAACTTTTATCTCTGCTGAGCCTGCACACCATCTGCCAACTTAATGTTTCATTGGTTTCAGAAAAACCAAATTGCAAAAATCATTTCTAGGATCATAAGAGTAAAATACAGAAATTTTCCTTAAAGCAAATGACAATAGACTCTAAAACTGTAGTTCTGAATATTTTTTTTAGTCTTCTTGGAAAAGGAATAACAGATTGTGACATATTAAATCAAATTCCAGATACTCGGATGACATATTTATATCTGCCTTTTTTAAGCCTCAAGTAACCCACAAGGAAGAACTGGACCAATCCAATTTATTTTCCATTATAACAAATGCTTTTGGATAGATTTTCCAGCATCACTCACTGGCCATGCTGATGCTTGTAGCTCTCACCTGCATGACCCTCATGACCACTATTTGCAAAGCAGGTTCTACACCAGGATATTCCCAGATCCATGTGGTCATAACAGCCTGCAATATTTCTTTTAGCACCCTCAAAATATCTCCTCATTACCATCAAGTCATGAGTTTCCTGCAAACTGAAGAATTCTCTTTCCTACCTCATTTGTGCACAGCAGAAATTCCCCACCAGCAACACAGGGTCGTTTGTAGGGCTGTGGGGAAAAACAAGTGTTTTCTGTGCTCTTCAAGTGGATTATTTCAAGTTCAGCTCAGTCCCAGGCTTATGTGCCTTTTGGGATGTTTTTACCTTCACAATTTTTCTCACTCTCTTGCAGACAGCTCCAGACAGTTTGGCCCAGTGAAAATGGTGTCATTTGTTACATTAACAAGATGGAAGCCTTGAGGTCATACTGGGTGTACTGGGGGAAAAACAGACACAGATCTCACCTCACAGAGACACTTTACAGTTAAAATTCCTCAGATATTTCATAGTTATCCAGCTTGCCTCTGAAGGAGAGCAAGTTGTTGTCTCCTCGAGGTAATAAGCCCCTGTTATCATTAGATATTTATTATCTCAAATCCTTCCCTACAGGGTCGTGTTCAGCTTACAGACTTTTCAAAACAGTTCTTCAGCTGGGAAGACAGAAAGTGAGTGTTGATCACACCCCTGCAGCTTCTCCTGCTGCTGCCACTGGGAGAGTCTGCAAAATCAGGATCTGGCAAGGCGGTGACAACAGAGAAAGGGTTTAGATAATGCATATTCCCCTACCAAAACCAAAGAGCACTGACCCCTTGCAGAGCTCACTGAGCAGATCACATGCACCTGCATTGCAGATGAGGGATTTGCACTCACTGGGCTGTTTGCACTTTTGGCTTCAGTGCTTTTAACCAAAAAACGTTCACAATGAGATTCCCTCAGAGCCCAGCCCAAGGAATGTTTGCGCCAGGGAGGGAACTGCAGCTGCCAGGGACAGGAACAGGGATGCCCAGCACTGACAGAGGCATGGCCTGGGGATCTTCCCAAAGTGAGATTTGGGCCAATACCAGAACCCAGCCTCGTTGTATTTCCTCTCATATGTATTTTAGAGCTTTATCTTATTGATAAAGCACCAAACACTTAAATAAAAATTTACTCCCTAATGATACGCAGAGATATCTGTAGACTATCAGTGCATCCCAGCTCAATTTTCAGTGCTTTGGGAGGTCAGCACAAACTTTAAAAATTCAAAATGTACCGACAGCAATTACAATTTACATTTTATTTCCGTCTTTTATAATTCCCACCCTTGTTGGGTGCACACCTCACAATCAGCAGATATGTTCATCAGATACTGAGCTACAGGTTGACAGTTTGTCACATAATTATGATAGTCATCCCAAGGAAGAGGGATTTTTTTTTTTGCCTTCAGCTAAATACAAACTCTTTTTTTCTGCACTTCAGTAATCAACTTTTTCTTTCTCTTTTTCTCTTCCCCCACTACAACCATCTTAGGATGCAGCCTTTTTAAAGCAAAGAGATAAAAGCACCACTGACAGCAGTATGCTGATGGCCGTGACAACTTAGGAAGTATTTTTCCACAAACTCATTGGATCTGTTACAAAAAAAAAAAAAAGTCAAATTCTATTTTTTCATCATCTCTTTTAAAGGGTGCCCTTGGACAGGATGACTGCATTGATTCTTAACATGGGATGCTTTGTTTTCCCTATGTGCTGGAGAAACTTCGCACAGTGCAGAAAGCTTCTTCTAGGCACAAAACTCTTACCAAAAAAACGCTCTTTTAGGTAAGAAATGTCTTCCTTCATGTATGTTGGAGCAGATTTCCCCACTTCCATGGGCTCAAACAGAATTGTAAAAATTTTGACATAAACCCCATGAGCAGCTTCTTTAGCTAAAAGCAGAAGTCAGTCATTAATTTGGTGAGTTCTGTGAAACAATTTAGGAGAATATTTTAATCCTAGGGCCTGTCACCATCCCCAGAAAATTTCTCCTTAATAACTTGCACATTAAAATGTGGGTATTTTCCCCTATAGCTTTCAGAATTCAAGTTTCCTCCAAATCAGTTGTTAGAAAAACCTGGAGTCACCACTCTGCTGGGAGGGAGCTGTGGTTTACAGCCTTGATGAAAAGAGCAAAGGATGAGGGGAACTGAGGGATGACATTTCTAGGGGAGCTGGAAGAAAAGAAAAATAGTTCTCATTAGCTTGAGAAAATGATGTGGCTGTAGGTATTTACAGAAAGGGGCAGGAGCAAAGTCTCTGGGAAGGCTTTCCAGGAGGGTTAGCAGGAAGGGGAAAGTAGGGAGAATCTGTCTTTGATTTAATTAATGAACTAGACCTTGCAGCTTTAGAACACAAATCAGTGCCTGTGAGGGCTGTTGGCTGTGGACAGGAGGGAGCAGGTGCAGCTGTGTGACCTGGCACTGCGGGCACTCCAGCTCTGCTCACTCTGCTGCTGGCTGTGCAGGAAGGAGCCAGCTCTTCCCAGTTGTCAAACAGCCAGGCAGGGTGTGCAAGCTGACTCTGGGTCATCATTCTGCTAAGGAAGGAAATTTTCCCAGGGTAATAGTAAGGTGTTTTATCATCTGCAGAGTTTTGCTCATCAACTCTCTGACCCTTTCTGCTTTAAAAATCTCTGTTCAAGTTCACTTAGAGTTCTGTTTCTGCAGGGATGCTTCTCATTTTCTACCTGAAGGTTGAGGGAGAAATTGTAAACTCAGCTGTGACCTACAAACAGGCAGGTCTTCCTATTCCTGCTGTTGATTTTGACAAATCCAGTGGCTGGAAGGGGATTAGTACTTAAGCAGGGGAAGTGCCACTTTGTCACTTTGGAGTCCAGATGCTGGTGCAGCCCTCTGAACTGGGCAGTGACCGAGTCTGAGCCAGTGAGAGCTGAGCCAAGGGCACAAAGTGACCCCAAAGGGGAGATGCTGGGGCCAGTGCTGACTGGGGGTCTGCAGGATGAAACCTTGCTATATCTGGGAGAGGAGAAGGGGCAAACCCTCAAGACTGCCTCCTAAGTGCTTGAGTATTTCCACAGGTACAGACTTCACATGATTTACCATTTATGAGCCCATATGCCCAGGATTTTCTGTCTAAGTGCAATAAATGTAGTGAATCCATCATCTGGAATGAGCTGCTTCTCTCCCCTGGGCTGAACTGGGACATCTCTTAGAAGTGCTGGCAACAAGACAAATTCCTGTTTCCTTGAGAGATGAAGTGTAAGTGCTCTGCAAGGTCTGGCTTTCTTCAGCACCAAGAACAACAGGACTGTAAGATCTCTTTTCTCATTGCTGGAGGTATTTTAGGCCAGCTGGGATGGGGTATGGAGCACCTTGGCCCAACAGAAGGTGTCCCTGCCCTTCGAGGGGGGTTGGAACTGGATGATCTTTGGGCTCTCTTCCAATCCAAACCACTCTATGAAATTTCATGCTTTTTCCTTTGTGAGAGAAAAATAATTATTTTATATATTGAGGCAATAATTTTCTATCTTTTTGGCTTTGGCATAATCTCCTTTTGTTGTAGAGTGCCATGCAAAGCAGCCACTTCTCTCACAGGGCTCAGAAAGGCTGGTTTTGCTTAAACATTCTTATTTTACAATGAGAACCATGGTTTATGTAAGGTGACAATTTCTCCTCGCCATGTGAACTTTTGGATTGCTGTGCTGAGCAAAATCTGCACAGTTTTCTTCTAAATACCTTTCTTTCTTAGCATAACTCATTACTCACAGTGTGCTGCTATAATTTATAGATGGCTGTGCCTCGAGGAATGAAATGACCTCTGTCACTATCACATAAATAAGGCTTAGGAATGCCAGGATTTTCATATCAGATGGAGTAGGCTTCTTTCAGAGCTTATAGAGAAATAGTGGCATGTTATAGATTTATTTAAGACTGCAATAGCTACATGAACATTATGCTTCCAGCATTACTGTCTGAAATAACAAAATTGGAACCTAAAGATGGGGGAAGAAAGGACACATGATGGTTATTAAAAATAACTGGCTGTTTAGTCAATACAAGTTGAGGAATGTTGGCTGGTAAATCTCAACTCTTCTCTAAGGTTTGACTGCGTATTAAAATATATCAATAGCTATTCCATTATGTGACTGACCTATTACCTGGAGACATTTTTACAAAGAATAGCATTGACATCAACCACCCAAAAAATGATGTAAAACAAAATTGTCTTGCCTGACTGTGTTTTTTTTTGTCAAGAAAGGAACAGAGAAGATGTTGATTTCAGGCCCTGAATGTGTGGAACCAAATGCAGGTTATTGTGCAGGTAGAGATAATGAGTTTAAAAAGTTCAAAAAAGGCAATTAGTTTTCAAAATGCTGCAAATTCTCTGTCCTGGGGGACAAATTCTGCCTTGAATGCCCCTTGTGCACCCTGGCAGTGATGCTTGGGGATGCTGCCACTGGGCTCTGCATGGAGAAGGGGAAAAGTAATGGAAAGTCCTCCTGATTTATTGTCTCCTCTCTCATACAGCTTTTATCAGTGTGAATCAATCTCCCTTTGCTGCTGCCTGAGAGAATATTCTTCCATCTGCATCTTCCTTGGGCAGGTGAGAGTTACCCATTGTCTCTGTGTGGTGGAGTTTGGTGCCAGGGTTTGATTCCCCTTTTAGTGGCATCAACTTTCCTCTAGGGTAGCCCTACAAATGCTAAACTTCTTCAGATTTACACCACGGGAGATGAGAGTCTTCTCCCTTTTGACTCCTGTTAGACACCCAGCCTGGGATGGCAAACAGTGAAATGGTTTTTTAAAATTTTTATTTTGTAAAACTGAATTCTCAGCTGCAGCTTTATTGCTTGGTTTTCACCCGTGATGATTTATGGATAATTATAATTAGTCTAATAGGACATGAAGACCTTTAAAGAAGTCTAACAAGGAAGAGAATACTTTAGTCTCACTAAACCCACTAAATTAAACATGTAGTTTCAGCAGAAGACAAAAAAGGGCTTACTGGAAACTTAATACAATAAAAATAGTCTTATAAAGATTTGGCAATGCTACTTGTTAACAGAACCATATTTTCTCTGAGTACCTCAGGACTGTTAAAACAAGATTTGATGTGATTGCAAGTGAAATAATTTGGATGAGAATATCTCTTCATAGCACAAACTTATCTTAAACTGGCAGAATTATCTGCCTCGTAACATGTGAGGGCATCATCAGTCAGATTCTGAACTGGGCTAAAGAAATCATTATCTCAGTCAGCATTTCTCAGGCCACATCTGGAAAATTGTGGACAGGCTGGAGAGGGTGCAGAGAAGAGCCACAAAGATGAGCCAAGGCCTGGGAAGCTGCCATGTGATGAAAGGTTGAGAGAACTGGGTTCATTCAGCCTTGATAAAAGGAGGCTTAGGGGAAAGCTCATCACCATGTTCAGCTTTTAAAGAGTGGATACAAAGAAGATGGAGGGTCCCTTTTTACAAATAGTAACATGGAAAAAATGAGGAAAAATTCAGATTCAACACAAAAATATTTTTTTTTCACACTGAGAACAGATATGCATTGGAATAATCTCAGCAGTTGTGGATTTCCCAACATCAGACACTTCAGGTTCAGCAGGAAATGGTACTGGGCTGTCTTGTCTAAACTATGCTTTTGCCAAGAAAATGTAGACCAGATGAACCTTGAACCCTCTGTTTGGGCTGGTATTTTATGATTCCATGATCTCAAAAAAGAGGTGCAAAATGTGAAGATTATTTCCAACCTGCTTTTAACACCAGGACGTTATCCCTATTTATTCTGTTTGCTGTAGCATCACTAATGTCCCTCTGCCCATAAAAGTTATGAACCTAATTTAAATTTAAAAGTCTTGTTTCTGTACTGTAAAAGGCCATGAATTCATACACCAGTCAATTTTTTCACATCTGTATTGTTTTCTGTTTTGTTGTTGAGAGCAGATCATTGTTGCTGTGTAAGCCATCAAATACACTTCTTAAAGATTGCTTTGTAATGAACTCTATCTTTCAGTATGCTATTGAACCAGGAGTTTGGAACCAGAGAGGCAGAACAACGTGAAAAAAAACCCATAAAATGAATCTCCCTCTATTTTAAAATGTATAATATTTTATTTTTCCTGTGAAAAGATGTTATTGTGTCTCTGGTCCATGGATATAAAAATTACTGAGTGCACACAGCTGAGCCTGCCTCTGCCGCAAGATACAAAAAGTACTGAGCAAAAATTGGCTCAGGCACATGTACCCACCACTTATACAAACCTCACGGCATTCAGGGTGTAATGTAACTGCAAATATTCAATTTGCCTTTAGAATGTGGTAAAATACCTTCCAAGTACTCACTGCAGCTCAAAGGAGTGTTATAGGTCTTGAACCTGGTTAACATTATTAAATAATCGTGCTGTGGAACAGTTTCAGATCTCTTTTGGGCAGTAGCTGTAAGCATGAGGAGCGAGGAGCAGCACGAATAAAAACACAACGGAGGTTTAGGAGGAAGCTTTGATCATCTGTGGGTGTGTGACTCGCTGAAGGCGGGTGGCATTACCGTGTCTCCCAGGCGGAGATTGGCGCCGTCCATCTCCACGTAGGAGAACGGCTGCGGGGTTGTCTCCTGATGGATCTGCTCCCTCTTGCCAGGGCTGGAGAGGCGAGACCAGAGCACCCTGAACTGGGCTGGGGGCTCAGGGGGAGCGGGGCTGTAGCTGCACTTCAGGTGGACTCGGCCTTGCACGAGCTCGGGAGTGATCACCGGTTGCACAGTCAGGCTCGTGGGCTTGTCTGGGAAGGGAAAACCAAAGAGGGATGTAGCATAAAATGTTATTTGATGTTATGGTTGTTCACCTAACAAGAAGATGTCAACGTAATTAAACACGGGAGACGCACTACATTTTATCTTCCTGTGACTTAATCAGTAACCATGCAAGGAAGAAGGTGTGTTTCATAAGAAATGCAAAAATTGCTAATTGTGTCCTGACTACCTATTGCTGTTATGCCATCTGACCTGCGGGTTTTGAATGTGTTTTGGTTTTTTTTTTTTTGTTTTTAATTTTGCAGTGAGAGAAACACTATTGAAATGAAACACACAGATTAATACAAATTAATTACTCTGGCAAAGGTCCTCAGCTTTGCATTTCCCTGGAGCACAGCCTTTTGATCCAAGTTTTGCAATAAGCACAGGAGAGATATGAGAAGTCACTATGTGGCAGAGGTAAACTGACTCCCAGCCTCTATTGCCTTACTGTGAGCATCCTTTCCAGGCTGTTTTAGGATGCATCTAGGCTAGTATAGTCTCCCTCTGCCCAGAATAATGCCATTGCTCTAAAAATACAGCTTGCTTTCTGCAGGCTTCAAGTAATGAAGTCTGAAACCTTTCTTCCTCTTAAACTCCCCTAGAAAGTAGAAACAAAGAGATGTATAATAGTGTAAGGGGATGTTTTTCATCTCTAGAGACCCAGACTCAACCAAAATATGAAGCTGGTTCAGATGCTTTGAAAGGATAAATTAAGTAACTTTTTCGGACAAGTGTAGAAAATATAATATATGGGTACCCAAGAGAATAAAATATGAAGCTGTTCCAGCAGAACAGAGAACCAATGTGTTAACATCTGTCCAGGGCAAACAGCAAGAGGTAAGAAACAAGTTACTTAAAAGATGAATATAAACCTGTTGTTTATACCTTTTTGTATTTCATTTCTTAGAGAAGCTGCCTCAAACCGTGCCTCACATCATGACTGTGTGCAGGAAATTTTCCCAGAAGGACAGAGTTAGGTGATCAGCTCCGGGGAGGATGTGAGTGGAATTGCAAGCACGAACACTGCTTTTCCCAGCTGTATCCTTTCTGCCAAGTTATGGAGTTTTAAATTCAGTTTGTTTTGCAGCTCAGAAGTGCTGATTGCTGTCCTGCTCCTGAACCTCCAGCAGAAGGGGTTGGGGAATTGACCCTGACACAAAGCCATGGCAGCTGGACCCAGCTGAGCCTCCTGTGGTGCAATATTTACAGCTGAATTTAAGCCAGTGAGGTAAAAATCCCCAGTAAGAAAAACTCCAGGTTTGGGTTTTTTTCTCATCCAATGCATAAGACTGCAAAAACATCCTAAAGGCAAGAAATTAAATACTCTGAAGAACTGGACCTCACTGAGAACGAGATTGGGAAGGGATAAGCATTCTTTTCTTAGAAATGTAGGCAGCTTTAAATCACTGAACAGGTATGAATCATCAAATAGGACAAAATTATTCACCCAAAATGTATTGGAAAAAAAAATTCTTTGAACAAGAGTAGTTGAAATCTTATAGTTTGTAAAAAAGCTAAGCTTAAACTGAAAAATGACTATTCAGTTAAAAAGTAATTTCTGAGTAAGAATCGGTTTCATTTATTTTAATGGATTTTTTTTTTTATTTCAAATTGTGAATTAATGCCATTTTCTTTGAGCCTTTCTTCTTCTTCAAGTAGGAATGTTAAAATATTGATAAAGATAAGAAAATAGTTATATTTCTTTTTAAAATTTATTTAAGCTTGGATTTTGCCCAGTTGAAAAATTGATAATCCCACTTTCTCAGTGTCATGTTTCTGTCCAAAATCACTAAAAGGAAAGAATAAAGGTAATTTTTTCATTTTGAGAAAGAAGCATGTTTTCTAATGAAATCTATATGCACCTGGCCATGCTCCAAAGTTCAGGGGGTTTAACTGAATGAGCAATTGCTTTCTGCTTTCCCTTTGTTTCCTAGCTACCGAACAAGGGTTACATCTCTCGTAGTAGGCTGGAAATTATTTCTGACGAGAACAATTATATAAATGTCATGAAAAAGATGTTATCAATTCGGTTTGGTTTTTTTTTTTCTCCTTGCAGAGTTTCAGAATTACCTTTTTTGAGGGGGGATACTGCATTATTAAAGATAAGGAGAGGCCTTAGAGACAGTCTCCTGGATACAGCGCCTGAGATGCCTCTGCTCACTCGTTTTGCAACTTCAAGCCAAAGTGGAGCCAAAGACAGTGGGAAAGGTTACACGTGAGCTGTAACCAAGCAAAGAACGCTCCAGCAATACACACCAGATTACATTTTGCACTGGTAATAGGAGCTATTCTTCAGGAACACCTCGGACTGCCACTGATTTATTTCCTACACGCTCCGCGCCTTAGCGGGAGTGGCGCTTGACTTGCAAGGTCACCGAGATGTGCACGGCAACACTGGGGCCTTTGAACACCCAGCCTGAGAGGCACAAGCAACCTTATTGAGAAATACTTTACTGGTCCTCACCTTCTGCACAGTAGCCCATGCATCCTGGGGTGGGCTGCAGGAGATACACAAAGAACGCGCCGCAGTTCCTGACGGCGATGGGGATGCGGAACAGGCAGCAGTCCCTGGTGCCCCCAAAAACCTGCCAGGTGGCACAGCCCGTCAGCCTCTTGCTCTCCCCAGGAGCTGGCAGGGATTCAGACTTCAGTGACAGCCACACCGGAGCTTGTGTCCCACATTTGTTCATCTGAGGGTACACACAGAATGAGCTGTTAACAGCAAGCGTGGTCAGATTCTTTCAGGAAAGGGAAGGGGATCTTGGAATCAGAGAACAAAGTCTAACAAACACTCAGGAAAGAAGTGTTTGATATGATCAAATTGATATCATTTGATATGATCAAATTGATATCATTTGATATGATCAAATAAAATGTAATTGGAAAAAAACCAGAAAATTTGGAAATGGAATGACTACACAACCAAATGGACTGAGTTGAAATGAGGGGTAAATGACCAAATGAAATGTGGGGCTAATGAGTGCAAATGACCAAAACTTGCCAAAATTGTGCCAATTAAAATCCTGAAATCAGGGAAGAAAACTAAACAGAAAGACAGGAGAAGAATTTGAAGAAATGAAACGTTTAAAAAAAGAAAAAGGAAAAATTCCGGTACCAAGTGAAAATAATAAAAGTGAATGGGATGACAGGAAGTGCAGGGAAATGGAATGAAGGTTGCCCAAATAAACCCCACTGAAATCTTGAAATCAGAGAACAAAGTCCAACAAATGCTCGGAAAGGAGATACAATTAAAAACAATGCAATTGAAAAACCCAGAAAATCTAAAAATGGAGTGACTACAACCAAATGGACTGAGATTAAGTGAGGGGCAGTGCAAATGACCAAAACTTGCCAAAATTACTCCAATTAAAATCCTGAAATCAGAGAAGAAAGGTAAACAAAGAGAAAGGAGAAGAACCTAAAGAAATGTTAAACAAGAAAAGGAAAAATTCCCGTACCAAGTGAAAATAATAACAGTGAATGGGATCAGCAGTGCAGGGAAATGGACTGAGGCTTGCCCAAATAATCCTCATTGAAATCACAAGGTTTCATTCCCTTTCCTGAAAGTGGAGATTACTAAAACCCAAGAGCCTGTGTGTGGTGAACCTGGAGGATCAGTGAAAAAGCTGTGTAGGTGGGGATAAAAATGTGTTGCTCAGTTTTGAGAGGTGGCTTTACACAGATAAAACGCTTAAAGGACACAATAACAGGATTCCAAAGTATTTTCCTCTTGTTTTGGTTGGTTTGTATGAAGAAGATGAAAGCATGAAAGCAGGCTAGATCACCTGTCTCCAAAGCAGCTGCCCTGCTCCTGACAGCCCCTGCCCTTCCAGCACACTCTGGACATGTTTGTGGGGCTGTACCTCTCCCTCACGCTTGAGCAGAGAAACATATGGAGGATATGCATGACTTAACATTCTAAATTTTTTTAAATTTTATTTTTGCTTTCAGGCTTTTATCTATTAACAAATTCCATGAATACAGAAAATCCCAAAGCAGAAGGCATTGGTCTTAAATGGTTTAAATGACAGCATGTTGAGTCATGGCCAGGAGAGACTGATTTCCATTTCCCAGCATAGGGATGTGTGTTCAGGACTCTCAGATCTGAGCTGCCCTCTGTACCTGTCAGGCTCTCTCCTCTGACTAAAGGAACATGGTTCTCTAAAGATGTCTTTAATTTAAGCACCTCAGTGAGGAGATTAGGTGTAATCAGGGTCTTATTAAATATACAAAGCCAATTACATTGACTCATTTTTCTGCACCATTACCTAGCATTTGCCAATATGCAAAGCACAGGGATATTTGAGCTAAAGTTTGGAAATTATTACCGAATACTGACAATAATTTGCTCTCAGATATCAGTCATATTCAGCAGAGCGTGACTGCTGCTGTCACTTTGCATTTCTTCAGCCAGTGACGGTGAACCATCTCTACTAGTCCAGCTCAGGGAACATGATTCCTCCCAGTGTGAGTGTTTGGCTATAAATCACATGGGGGGAAAAAAAATAAAAAACCAAAACAAGCCCCAGCATTTTTTCCCATTGGCCTAGGTTTGCTGCTTTGCTTTCAAGATCGAAAGTTATTTGTGACAGCAGGGGAAGCGGTGAAAGTCAAAGGATAAATTTATTAAGTCATGCACCAGTGCCCTCCTGCAGTTTGAGTTGTACCTGGGAGCTATTCAAGCCAGGAAGCAGGGGCAGGGGAGGAGGGCTGCACACCCAGGAAAGCAAGGGTAGTTGAAAAACAATCAACAATGTGGCACGACACAATCTGATTTCCATTTGGAGCTAGTTATTGTCAGGCTTCTGAAAACAAGGATTCCAGAGAGACACCACTGAAATTGTCCAAGGTTGTTGGGGTTTTTTTTTCCCTCCTGAAAAGTGGCAGCAGCTGAGCAGAGAGGCTGACCCTGCCTTCCCTCTTTGGTGTCCTGGTGGTCTTGCAGGTGGCACTGGAGCCACACAATGCAGCAGCTTGCTGGGGAGGAGCAGCCTTCCAGCACTGTGCAAGCAAAGGAGAAGAAGGGCCAACATAAAAATTATTCTAGGTGGAATTTTAGACCAATCCATTCCTTTGCTTTCTTTAAAAGCCATGCTGGGTGTAAGTTTAGAGGTTTTTTTTCTGTTTGTTTATTTACAGCTTTAAGGGACACGGGTGTTTTCTGTGCTGGTAAAAATACAGATGATAAGAATATTGCATCCTGGTGAACTTCTGACCTAGAGTGCAAAGAGTGGTGTGAAGAAGCATGTTTCCAAAGCATGCTCATGAGCATACACTTGTAATGACCTGGGAGGGTGGAAAAAACAACATCCAGAGAAGCAGCATGGGAGAAGAGAGAAGGATGGAAACTGAAGCTCTGTGTTCTCTTCTTCATACTCATCTGGATGTGACACGTGCAGCCTGAATTTCCTTTTACACAAGGAAACCACAAATTTCAGTGCCTCTGCGTGTGTGAGTAAAGACTGCTGGACTGGAACATTCCTTCTGAAATTGCAGTAAAATGCAGGTATTAGTAAGCTCACCTTGGAGGTGTTTGGACCCACACAAGCCAGAAGAATTAGTTATGGGGAGCAGAGCAGCAGGGATGAGTGAGCACTGGGTTTCAATGGATGTGTGCAAACTCAGAGAGTCTTGTAGGAAATGGTGTGGTGAGGAGGCACAGCACAACCTACCCATCCCAACTGAAAAAATACTCTTACAATTCTCTGTAAAAGAACTTCTGTTGCTTAAAATGACATATAGCATCCATATGGTGCTGCCTTTACCAATGTAACTGGTGCCAACAGGTCAGTGGTGCTGCACTGGGAGTGCAGCTGCTTGGCTGCCTCTGGCCAGGCACACACAGTGCCTCAGTTTCTCTGGCTGCTTGACCTTCGGCAATAACAAATCACTGACTCCCTGTACCTCACTTTCTCATCTCTCAACCAGAGGTGGAAGTGGCTGGGATGGTAACAGCCTCTGGTGCCTTGCAGCAGTGCTGGGAAGATAATTCATTAATGAGACACCCATCTCTCTGCAGCCATGTAGATAAATAGATGTGAATGCATTTTGGCTGTGAAAAAAGGCAGAAAGTGATCCATACATAAAACTGGGCCTGGATCTCTTGTTAACACAGAGGAAAAACTGAAATGCTGGAATAAGAGGATGGTGATTTCCCCCCTCTGTTTTTATCCTCACCAGAAGTCCGTGAGCCATTTCAGTGCTGGAGAAAGTGTGGATTGGCATTGCTGACATCAGAGTGCAGCTTTCTGATAAACCCTCACAGGGACCTCCTGCATTTGCCCTGGCCAGTCTTGCACTGAAACCACTTGAGTGAGGCAGTTTGTTATGTAACATGCAAAATTACAAGCAATGATCAACCCTTACGAGGGAAAAAAAAATCAGACTGTGAGACAGCAAGTCATTGCAACAAACAGTAACACGGGATTACAGGCTAGCCAAGGAAGGATTTTGGTATAAATCAAGTATTTCTGTTTTCCTGGCAGCTCTATGACACACATAAATTTATTTTCTGTTATGAGCTGCATGTGGTCCTTCTGAGTCAGGCAAGTTGCCACACACTAGCCAAAAGGATTTGCTGCATGAAGCTTCTGTGAATTAGAAGACAGACATGGGAAGGCAAGGAAAATGTATATTCATGTGTTCAACCAGCAGTAGAGATAAGAATAAAAAAAAACAAAAAACAAAAAACAAAAAACAAAAAAAAAAAAAAACACAAAAAAACCAACAAAAAAACCCAAACAAAAGAAAAAAGCAAAGAAACTTAGAAGAACAATCTAGGAGAAGAGGCTCCAAAGAGCCACAATTTTCAAGCCCCCACTGTGGCATGATTTGCATTGAATTTTGTAGCCGTCATTTGGGAGAGTAACCAGAAAATTGAATTCAGAAGTAGCAAATGATTGGCATTTAAAACAGAGCATTTACCTGCAAGGCCTGCAGTCACTGCTGCTCTAAGGGTATTGGGGAGATGTGGGAGTCTCACACCCCCACTCAGCAGCATTTCCAAAAGGAAGGAGGAATTACACAGCTGCCTCTACAGGAGAGCAAACTCCACAGGTTCAGGCATCCAGTGACACAGCTTGCACAAAGGAGAACTTCTCCAGCACAGGAGGGACACTTCAAGCTGTTGGCAGCCTTCTTTAGTATCTTCCCTTACTTTATCCAGTTGTAATTAGTGGTGTTTTCAATCTTCAAAGCATTTTATAAACCTTACCCAATTAATCTTTGTAACACCTCTACGTGGCAGGTAAATATTTGTTAAGTATTTTTGATTCCTGATTAGGCACCAGATAATAATTTAAATAATCCAATTTAGAAAACCTAAACAACAAAAAGAATAGTTTTCTCCCTTTGCCAAAACAAGAGAACAAGCCATTATTGTTGAATCCAATGATGTCTCCATTTGCTTGGGGTTTGGAGTATCAACCAGTTTGATTGATTGGACACTGTGGTTCTTCATAATTGCACAAAGAAATCAAGCTCGATTGTTCCTGTCACTTGGGTATTGCTGGAATTATGCTGTTAAAAATAAGTAGCACCATATGTGAGGAATGCATTGTTTTAGTTGGATGGAGATGGAAGGCTTTTTGGTGTGCTGCTGGTTGGCAGTTAAAGCATTATGATTTTGCATCTGTTATCCACTCAAAATTTTACTTTAGCTTTTTTTTATTATTATTATTATTTCTTTGTA